AAGGAGCTTGAATTCAATGTACTTGTAAAGTAACTTTCTAACAAGTTAATTAGTTTCGACTAAGAAAAACTAAATAATAATAAATAAAATAATAAATATTTTATTTAAACTTTTATCTTCTTTACCCAAAATTATTTGCTAATAACAAAATCAATTCGTTGACCCCTATTCATTCTGATCCACACAAAACAAAAATAATTGTTATCACCAATTAAAATACGCTCTCCCAAATTTAATTAGTGGACAATAGTTACTCTTTTAAAATTATTGTGGTCATGTAATTTTCTTGACCCGCGGTAGTCACGTGAGATAATATCAGATTCTCAAAACTCTTGAAAATTATAATGTTTATTACATATGTACAGTTCACTCTCCTATAACGAACCCTCTGTCCCTATATGTAATTTCTCTGCTTTTGGTCGTTATGCAAACTTGAATCCTTATAAATTCATAATTTACCAATAATTTTTAAAAAAACTCTGTCAGGCTATTCTTTGTATCACAGAGAAAAAAACTATGTAAATTTTTTTACTCCAACTTGTTTAAATTTGAAAGTTATGCTCAGAAGTGCAACAATAATTTTCGTGTTACAATATTTTGAATCTCACGACCAAATTCGGTAATGAATTTCATTTAATGTAATATGTTCGTTAAACTTTTTTGTTGTAAAGAACTTTTATTTAAAATATTCTATGAAAAAAAAGTTGTTACACGAAATTTACTTAGTTTCAATTTCTTAAGTGTATAACAAAATTCGGATTTTCAAAAGGCTAAGGCTCAGCCAATTTTCAGTTTAAAAAAAAACCAACCGGTAAGTTTTGAAGTTTGAGTCACGAACAATAAAACTTATCGGTTAAATTTTTTAAAATGATATAATTTTTTTTTGTTTTGGTATTTTGAAGTTGACCAATTGTTACTATAAGCAATTAATGATTATAGATGATTTGAAATTCCATATTTGGTAATATCCCCGACTGTAATAGTAAATTTGTTATTTATATACTATGGTGCAAGTCACTTAGTCGCTGAACTTTTTATTGGCTGTATAGATCCTATATCCTCTCCAAAAATGGAAATGTATGACCCAAAAAACAAATCATAGAATTAAAGCTAAGACCTTTCT